GGAAGCTCCCAGCAGAGACAAGGATGATTCTGATGCTACCACCCATGTCGCTACTGAAACTGCAACTGTCATCGCCTCGACCACGATCGATGCTCCTGTTGAACCTACTACTATCACGTCCCCTCTACCGGTCAGCACAGCTGCTGTGACCGATGAGGTTGCTGTCACTACTCCAGCTCCTGTGACTGGCGAAGTGACCATCAGCACGGCAGCTGGAGAAGCTCCCGGTAGAGACAAGGATGATTCTGATTCTACCACCCAGGTCGCTACGGAGGCTGCGACTGTCACGACTACGATCGATGCTCCTGTTGAGCCTACTACTGTAACGTCCCCTCTGCCAGTCAGCACAGCTGCTGTGACCGATGAGGTTGCTGTCACTACTCCAGCTCCTGTGACTGGCGAAGTGACCATCAGCACGGCAGCTGGGGAAGCTCCCGGTAGAGACAAGGATGATTCTGATCCTACCACCCAGGTGGCTACGGAGGCTGCGACTGTCACGACTACGATCGGTGCTCCTGTTGAGCCTACTACTATAACGTCCCCTCTGCCGGTCAGCACAGCTGCTGTGACCGATGAGGTGGCTGTCACTTCTGCACCTCCTGTGACTGGCGAAGTGACCATCAGCACGGCAGCTGGAGAAGCTCCCGGTAGAGACAAGGATGATTCTGATGCTACCACCCAGGTCGCTACGGAGGCTGCGACTGTCACGACTACGATCGGTGCTCCTGTTGAGCCTACTACTATAACGTCCCCTCTGCCGGTCAGCACAGCTGCTGTGACCGATGAGGTGGCTGTCACTACTGCAGCTCCTGTGACTGGCGAAGTGACCATCAGCACGGCAGCTGGGGAAGCTCCCGGTAGAGACAAGGATGATTCTGATGCTACCACCCAGGTCGCTACGGAGGCTGCGACTGTCACGACTACGATCGGTGCTCCTGTTGAGCCTACTACTATAACGTCCCCTCTGCCGGTCAGCACAGCTGCTGTGACCGATGAGGTTGCTGTCACTACTGCAGCTCCTGTGACTGGCGAAGTGACCATCAGCACGGCAGCTGGGGAAGCTCCCGGTAGAGACAAGGATGATTCTGATGCTACCACCCAGGTCGCTACGGAGGCTGCGACTGTCACGACTACGATCGGTGTTTCTGTCGAGCCTACTACTATAACGTCCCCTCTGCCGGTCAGCACAGCTGCTGTGACCGATGAGGTTGCTGCTATCACTGCAGCTCCTGTGACTGGCGAGGTGGCCATTACCACGGCAGCTGGGGAAGCTCCCAGCAGAGACAAGATGATTCTGATGCTACCACCCAGTCGCTACTGAACTGCAACTGTCATCGCCTCGACTACGATCGATGCTC